AGAATAAAGGGAAAAGGAATCACTTTTCTTCTTGGTACTCAGAACAGATTAGAAGACAAGATTTCCCTAGAAGGAAAATATAATAGTTTTACTTTAATTGTTAGCATAACTTAAAGTAACTTCTTTGTTCTGTTTGTCAAAAACTTGATATGAGCAGTTTAATGGCCCTGAACTTTTAGCACATCCCCTTGGGCTTTCTTGACTCTAACTACTACAGAAAGAGGTTCCTGTGAACCAAAATACCTTAAAATGCAGCACTTTCTTAATTACAAGGCATGTTTAAACTTCAGCTGGCTAATTTGGTCCAAGAAATGAGGATGAGCTGTGGGCCTCCCATCTGCATCCTTCAACTCCAAATTAGCACTCAGTGAAGGGTTTTCCAGATAAAAGAAACAAGTTAGCTCAGCTCTGTGCCAAGGAGGCACTAACAGGTTTCGGTCCTCTTCCCACGGGTCTATGGGTTTTTCTAGCTATGTCTTGTGCTGCTTTATGTTCTATTAGACAGTTTTTGCTTGGAAAGCTAATGGAGTTCTCATTTTTCCTTCTCCCTACTTACTCCATTTTATATCAGGCTTTTCTTTTGTCTGCATTCAAAACCAGTCATGGTTAGGATTATGTCTTAAACTACATCCCCCACAAAGTGGTTTTCTATAGCTTGTGGGGTCCTATAATCTGTATATCAACTGGAGAATATACTGGAAACTACAGCAACAAGTCATGATGACTGACCCACTTAAGTATATGAGTCTGTAATAGGACTACAGAAGAGGGACTCTAAGAGCAATGAAGACAATAGCATCAGGACATCACGCTCACCTCAGCTGGACATTCATCTGCTATAGAACCAGTGTTGGCCCCGACTTCCAAAACCAGTTAACTTTCCAAGAGAAGTCATTCAGGTCCTGTAAGCCATTTAATCAACTGTCCTCCCTAAAGGAAGTTATTTTTCTTCTGTTGGAAGTCCTAAACCTCTTCTAAGGTTATAACAAAAGAACTACAAATACTACAGGACTTTATGGGAATATAAAGATTAACAATCCTCTCAGATTAGGCATCATTTTAGAGAAAGCAATGATGAAAAACAACCAAATGATCTTTTCAATAAAATATATTTGAAAAACACCTGAGTAAGTAGCTAGGGTTTTAAAAAAATATACAGGTCAACAATTCAAATTATTATCAGTTTAATTTTCCAAAATTCTGAACATATCTTATTATTTCTATTTTCTGCTAGTATAAAGGAACACAAACTAAGCATGGTGGTGAACACCTTTAATTCCAGCTGTTGTAAGGCAGACACAGGTGGATTTCTGTGGGTCCCAGCTAGTCTGATCTACATAGTGAGTTCCAGTCCAGACAAGGCTACATAGTGAGACCTTGTATCAAGCAAAACAAAAGACCCCAAAGCACAGAGTGGGCACTTGTACTGAACAGACATCCACTGGGCTCATGGCTCTGTGACTAGTACACCACAAACTAGGGTCAGCAAGTGGCGAAGACCTTTATGTGGTCTCATTCCATAGCAGAGAGTGGGAGGGAGGAAAAGGAGGGAGCAAGAGGCTCAGACTCAAGCTCATAACAAATCCACTCTGGCAATAACCCACTCTCAGTACGAAAACAAGTTAACCATCCGTCTGTTCATAAGGGTTCATCCCTGTGACCTCGTCATCCCTATCAATCCACCCTTCTCAACTGTACAGTGTTGAAAATTAAGTGTCCACCGTATACACTTTGAAAACCTCTGTTCATCTGGTATCAACTGACATTTTGCTGATCTTTGCAGCAATGTCATGATGCACTATCATATCTGTTTTGAGGATGGAAAAGCACCATCATCCTCTAACTAATGAAACAAAAGGATGATTTGCCCAAAGTCCAAAGTGAAAAACGTAGGCATTAAACCTGGGCCTGGTTCCAAAGCTTGCTTTTATAATCTCTACAGATCGAACAGATAAGCAAAATATTTGCCTCATGTGCATGAACAGAGCCGTGTTTCCAAAGAAAATATTAACATCTACACTTTGACCGGAAAAATCTTTGCCTATCTTAAAATTTGATTTATATAAAACCTTTTAAAAATAAATACCATCTAGATATTTAACCAAATAGTCAACATCTTTTATAGTTTAAACTTAAATCATTAACATAATGGACAATGTAAATGAGATCTATATTATCAGAAGAGAGTATGATTAATTAAAAGGTTAGTTAAATAATTTTTAAGGGCTGGAGATGATCTCAGTGGCATGCCAGTGTACACACAAAGTTCTGGATTTCATCCCCAGCACCAAGTTAAAAAGTTGATTTTAAGGATGAGGAACATGGCTCAGTCAGTAAAGTGCTATGAACATGAGGACCTGAGTTTGGATCCCATGTACAAGGTCAGCTATGATGGTACATACCTAATCCCAGTGCTGGGGAGGCAGAGAAGGAGCCTCCCTGGACAGCTAGTCAAACCCACCAACGGTGAGCTGCAGGACCAGCCAAAGACTCCATCTCAGAAACCAAAATGGAGAGAAACAGGAGGAGACAACTGCTGCTAATCCAATCCATACACATGCTTTCATGTGCATTGCACACCCCAACCCCACACGTACACACACACAGACACACACAGACACACACAGACACACACACAGGCACACACACAGACACACACAGACACACACACAGACACACACACAGACACACACACAGACACACATACACACACAGACACACACACACGCAGACACACACACAGACACACAGGCACACACAGACACACACAGACACACACACAGAGACACACACAGACACACACACAGACACACACAGACACACATACACACACACAGACACACACACAGACACACAGACACACAGGCACACACAGACACACACACACAGAGACACACACAGACACACACACACACACACACGCACAGACACACACACATACAGATACAGACACACACACACAGACACACACACAGACACACACACATACAGACACACACACATACAGACACACACACAGACACAGAAACATACACACACAGACACACACACAGACACACACACACAGACACACACATACAGACACACACAGACAGACACACACAGACACACACACACAGACACACACACATACAGATACACACACACACACAGACACAGACACAGACACACACAGAGACACACACACAGACACACACACACACAGACACACAGACATACACACAGGCACACACACAGACACCAGACACGGTTAAGTTCAAGTGAAAAATCTTTTTTTTTTCGAGTCAGGGTTTCTCTGTGGCTTTGGAGGCTGTTCTGGAACTAGCTCTTGTAGACCAGGCTGGTCTTGAACTCACAGAGCTCCGCCTGCCTCTGCCGCCTGAGTGCTGGGATTAAAGGTGTGCACCACCACCGCCCGGCTTCAAGTCAAAAATCTTAATAGTTTGATAATATACTTTTCTTAGTTTTTTGAACAAGCAAGCTTTTAGTTTGCAGCTAAGGCCCATACCTAACTTCCTGCCAATCAAATTTAATTCTTCCTCTTTATTGTCTTACAAATGTTAGCAAGAGTGCTCTTGCTCCCTCCCACACCCTTAGGGAGTGTGTGTGTGTGTGTGTGTGTGTGTGTGTGTACACTAGTTCTTTATAGCAGGAAGATAAATTTGTCCTGGAAATACTATAATGGTTTCCATGTGTTTTTTTTTTCCTAACTTCAAAATGTGGTGATAGTTAGGTATTTATCTTTTAAGTGAGAATGATGTCATTCCCCGTAGTGTTTATTGACACAAAACTTCCTTTTGTTCAAGAACATTTTCAATATTGTGAATATGGCTTTAATTAACAGATACACTGCTCAGTTGTTGGTCTCATCACAGAGAACGTCTGTTTTATTGTGTGGACTGCTTTGTGAGCAGACGGTAGTGGAACATATAAAGGACTACTGGCGATGTGTTATGTTCTGTATTTTCTTGTCCATTTCCGAATGCTACTGAGAATCACTGTTCAGAAAGTTCTGTGGGGATAGCACGTTTCAAAGTATAAAGGAATTTGGATTCACAACTTATTTTAAGATGGAAAAGGCCTTATTGCTGCGTGGGCAGTACAAATAATTATTCTTACCTTTATTCATGAGGATAAGTCTTTTGAGTATCATTTTGAAATATAAGGAATTGCCCTTTGAATTTAGGGAAGTCACTCATTGATCTCAGTTCCTCTATTTGTTCACAGATTTGTGGCAATTTTTCTGGAATCGTACGATTTAAAAGTACAGATCGATGCTGTAAAATTCTGAAGCATGCACTACAGATGAAATCTTTACACAGTTATTCGGGTTTACTTTCACATGGCATTGGACGAAACCTAAATTACAGTGGTGGTGTGGGAGTGCACTCTAGCTCAAAGTCTTTATTCCACAACCACCGAGTCGTGTAATTCTTAGTTCCCCATTCACAGACGACGTTTAAAAAACGGTAGCTTCTGTCGTTAAGAGGATAAGCGCCTGCAGCAGAACGTGTTGGCCAGTTTAAAAATAGTCACTGATATAAAATGAAGCAGAGAAAGGCATGTTCTCGGCACAGAGGACCTGCCAATTTGTGAGAGTTCTCGCCCATCTATACACACAGGTCAAAATTCTGCTGACGTGGGAAAAGTGGAGAAAACTGCCCAAATAACGCTAAACGGAGCACAATGGCTCTCCACCTCGTTCGGATACTTCTTTGGCTTCTGCAAGCGTCCAGCTTGTAGAAAGCTGCAGCCTCCGGTCCTTCTCGCGACCGTCCTCCGTCGCTCGAGCTCCCGGGTGGGCCAAGGTCACTTTTCTCGGCGGTCCTCGCGCACCCGTCTGCTGAGCTCAGGAGCCCGGCGTCTCCTCCTGAACTTTGCACCCCGCGTGACGAGCGCGGACGGGCGAGCCGCTCACTGCGCCACCCGCGCGGGTCCCGGTCGTCCCCTCGCGTCCCCCGCCCGCCCGCCCGCCCGCCCCGCGCTCCGCGGGAGGAGCCGCCGTGACGCGGTAGGGAGGAAACGCCGGCGCCCGGCCGCGCCGCCGGGAAGGAGGAACCTCCAGCGCGCTGGGCTCCGCGCCCGGGCGCCCGGGGACGCCGCGCAGCCCGGTAGGTGCGGGGCGGGTGGTTGGGGCCGCGCTGCGGGGTCCGGGCCGGGGCTCTCCCGGACGCCGGGAGCCCGCCACGGCCGGGCGCGCGGTCTTTGTGTTCCCGAGTCGAGTTGAGCGCCGCGGCGAGGAGCCCAAGCGCGTGGGTGGACGCGGAGAACCCGCGTGGCCCCGGAGCTGGGCAGCGGGCGGGGAAGACCGGAGAGCCCACCTGGATGGGGACGTGGGTTACCTGCGCAGACCCGCGTGGGACGCCTGGGCCCGGAGGAGGCCGGCGGGATTAAGTGGTCGTCCTGATCGATCCCACAGGACTAGGAGGCATCGCCACTCTTTTGCAAGTTCTCGGATTCGAACCCTTCTGGTCTGTTTTCTACCGGTCTGTTTCTGAGTCTCCCGGTTTCAGCGCTGACATGTGCCACCTTAAAAGCGCCCTGAGGGTTTCGGTGATGGTTCTTTGAACGCGTAGAAAAGAGAGAGGATCCGTCTCGTGAAACAGTGTTTGACTTAAATTTTTGCACCGAATGCTGAATATCTGCAAGGGTGTACTCGAGATTCCGAAATAAATAGAGAACAAAGTCTCAGCAGTTTTTGTCGGGGTGAAAAACTAAACAAAACAAAACCCCAAACTGCCTGTTAGGTATTTTGATTCTCCCCTCCTCACTAAGTTGAGTGTTTACCCAACAGGCCTGCAAAGTGCCTGCTTTATTTACCAAACACAGCTCTTACTATGAATTGGGCTGTTTCCTAAGTGCTTTATAAATATTACCTCAAATTCTTAACTCAAAATATTTAGTGATAGTGGTTGTAGCCATGAAGAGGCCATGCACGCTTTAGTTCCCCCAGTGTCATAGAAAGAACTAGAAACATTAGAGGAAGTTTCAGACATATTTTAGGAATGGGTGTGCCTTCTGCCCCCTAGGCTACCACTCCCCTAAAACAAGCTATTACTCCTCATTTCCTGTGGGGTGCGAGCTTGGAGAAATGAGACCTGCCGCAGGTCTGAGGTTAGGTTCCACAGAGTTTCAGAAAGGTGGTCGCTGCCCTTCACCATCCTCCAGCCAGGGCCGACAACTCCGGCATCAGAAGTTCCCTTTCTTTAAGCTGCCATGGGGCTGAGCCTAGTTTTGTTTTTGAAAGGAGCTTTGTTTCAAATCTTTTGACAATTCATATGACTGTGGCTGAGATGGGCGCATCAGATTAAACTTGAACTGTGAATGTTTTTGTTTCTGCATATTAACATAAACAGTGTTTGACAATTTTCTGCGGTTCATTGTTGGTAGTTCTGAGTTGGTGGATGTGTCCCATAAGGTGTCCATTTTGTGATTGCAGCTTGTATATAAAAAGGATTTCCCCCCCTAGAAGAAAATGACCTTTTCAAATGAGTGTTGTAGGCCTGGTGTCTAGATAGGAAAGGCCTAGAATGGAGAATAAGTAAGGTTGACTTAGTTTTTGTCACTGTGGTATTATAAATGTGATATCAAAATCTCCCTATCAGTTGGTTCTTTTCCTTCCTGTGAATTTTCATTTCCTGGGAGATGACTGAGTTGACTTTGAGGTGTGGAAGCATGGAGGCTCTCCCTCCTCTGATGTAATTTGTGATAGGTAGCACAGGACATTGGTGGTGCTTATGAGTTAACTTCACCCAAACACCTAACAATTGCGTGGTTTGCAGAGGATCTTAGACATCCTCATTTGTCTTCAGAGAGACCGGGGCGGTCAGTAGCCGTTAAAAAAACCCCACTCTGTAAAGTAAAGACACCCAGGCGGAACACTGTTGATTCGCTTTAAGCACTGTTTGCGGAGCTGATGGGGGGGGGTGAGCTCAGATGAGTAGGTGTATAGCCGGACAGAGCCTGGCACGTGCAGGCCTGTAATAAATATTTGTGGAATGAATGACTTCAGATAGCTTGCTCTTTCAAAACATACCTCCTAAAATACCGTTGTCATTGATTTGTGCTGAAGAAATTTCCAGGTCTAATGCAGCACCTCTCTCATTACAAACAGTATTTGATCCAGTACCTTCCCTGTAGGTGCCTCTTGGACTCAGGATTTATCATCTTTAGTTTTTGAAAAAGAAATTAGCTTAGTGGTTGTTTTTCTTTTCTGTCAAATACCCTACCTGTTGTTTTCAGTTTCAAGGGGGTTTAGGTTGGACAAATGGTGTTAGTGTTTTTGCTGACAGCCGCCTTTCACCTGTCTCTAAGCTACTCGGATTTTTGATTGAGTTCAAATACAGTGACAAAGGTCTCTTTCACTGACTGAAGTGTCTGATATGGTGGATGTTTTCATGCTGATTACTTTAGTATAAAGTATCTTTTAAAAAAGCAAAAAAAAATAATTTATTTATATCCTTTAAGCATGGCTCTTGGCATCCTCAAGTATGTGGTCACCAGGTGGGTTACCTTCAGTTAGAGAGGAAAATGTAGCGGTTACCTGGTAGAGGACTTGGGAAGGGCCATCGGATGAAGTGAAATGAAGTGTGGCCTTTCCCACCGGGAACATTGGGTACAGGGAAAACCTTAATGGAGCCGATTGGAGTCAGCTGTCAACCTGCCATGTGGGGGTGGGATAAAATCTTCTCAAACCTGCCTTGTGTAGAAACCCCCATTACCCTGTTCAGCCTTCATGTGTTCTTTCTTAAAACTTCATGTAAATTGCGGACTAAACTGCAGATTCATGAAAGTCGAGTTATGTAACGTGTTATTCCTGACAGAAACAGCTCCCACACTCTTTTAAGTGAAGCAGTGTCTCTGTTTTCCTTTACCTGTTCCTTATAGTGGAAGCTGTGGTCTTGGTTCTCGGAGAAGTGTGGTAAACCTAGCAACTGCCGAGAGGTCCCATCTTTTAGTTGACAGCAGGACACTTTTAACACTAGCTTTGAGTTAATTGCTGTTTCTGAGAAGATGTAGAATCATATGTTGAAGGCCAACCCGAAGTGTGAGGCCAAGGCTGAGGGCTTCTGAGAGAATTAGGGCCGTGTGTAGCAAGCCAAGCCTTTGCTCAGTTTGTCAGATTCATCCCTGTTTCCCAAGGGTCTTGTAGATATGCCCAAGTTTATCTCTGTGTAGCCATAATTCTCTTTAAAACCAAACTGTACATAGCTCTGTTGGAAGGGTGTTTGCCTTGTACTCTGGAGGCCCTGGATATGATCTCCTTTGTTGTCAAACAAACAAGCAAAACCAACAATAAAAGCCTAGCAGGGCATGATGTCCCATGCCTATAAAGATTGGGCATTTGAATCCTCAGTTGTCCCCAAGAACAGCCTGGACTACAGAGCTAGACCCTGTCTCAGAACCAAACAAAATAAATCCAACGCTGTTTTCCTCCTGTGGGATTATGGGTGAGTTTAAGAGGCCATAGTAGGAAGGCAGTCGTTGTAGGGTGAGACACTGATCTTTTGTAAGGTGGAAAATAGGTGTGTGGGTGAAATACACAGTATTAGTGAGACTCAGGGGAGATTCCTGTGAAGTACAACTTGGTTTCCACTGTGGAGACCAATATAGGGAAGACCTAAAGGATACTGACACTTGGAAAGGGCTACAAATATCTACCAGCGCAGTAAGTTTTCAAGGGGAGAGTTGGCTATAAGCTTACTCGTGCTGAAGTGTTCTTACAGGTCGGTAGTTTCTCTCTCTCTCTCTCTCTCTCTCTCTCTCTCTCTCTCTCTCTCTCTCTCTCTCTCTCTCTCTCTCTGGTTTATAAAGACAGGGTTTCTCTGTGTAACAACCCTGGCTGTCCTGGAATTTGCTCTGTAGACCAGACTGGCCTTGGACTCACAGAAATCCACCTGCCTCTGCCTCCCAAGTGCTGGAATTAAAGGCATGTGCTACTACTGTCCAGTTAGGTAGTTCTTTCCTTAGGCCACAAAGTGAGGGCTTTGCAGATACTTTGAAAGTGGCTTGAAACTTAAGAGCATGGGTGGTTCTGGATTTTGTACCTTTTTAAGGGTTTCTTTTTTGAGAATGTCTGTCATACTGAGATGTCATTGTTTGCCCTGTGAGTTTGCACTGTGATTTTAAAGAATTAGCTCTGCTTACACAGCATAAAATAACTAGTATAGTTCAGGTTAGCTGCTTCATATGTGTATACATATCATGTGTATGTTTGTGTGTGTGCTGGTACATATATACGTGTGTATACGGGTGTGCATGAGGCTAGATGTCAACCTCAGGAGATGTCCATCTTGTTTTTGAGATAGGGTCTCTCAATGTGAACTTGCCCATTAGGCTAGGTCAGCTGGCCAATGAGCCTCATAAAAGCCACCTGTCCCTAGGGCTGAAATTACAAATGCATGCCACCATTTCCTGCTTTTAACATAAATTCTGGTCATCAAAGTCAGGTTTTCGTGCTTTCATGGCAAGTACTCTGCCAAGAGAGCTATCTCCAACCCTGCAGCACCAACACCCCCCCGGTTTTGTGCTATATTTGCCAAGTGAGCTAATACCAAGCATTCTGTTCTCTAGTTAAAATGTATTTTATAACACTCATCTATAACACATGAGATTCTGGGGTTGGAGAGATTGACAGCCTTGCTATATGGTCCAGAGTTCAAATCCACCCACGAAAAAATATGGGCATGGATGCGCATCCCTGTAACTCCAGTTTTGGAGACAGCTGGATCCTGAGACTGGGTGGTCAGCTAACTTACCCAGAAAGGCTGGCTTCCAAGTTAGAAAGAAACTGGCTCAAACTAAATAAGGCAGAAGTGACAGAGCAAGAGAGAGCCTGGCTCTGGCCTCTGTGTGAGTATACACAAGCACACACTGTCACAGACGCACATCCGTGCAACACACACACACACACACACACACACGCATGCACACACTCTCATCTTTGGGACTGGGTTAACCAGTCTCCAGACTCTGGATGTTACTTCCTCCAGTTCAGTGGCATGCTGTTAGGGCTAGAGCAGTTTGCTTGTTTGAATTGAAAATGGGAAAGAAACTTATTGCTGTCATTTGCTTTTTACATTTTAATTGCTTTTGAAATAGAAGGTCTCAG